CTCTAGGATCTGGTATCTCACCAGTCATTGTATATACAGACGCCGATCACGCAAATGATCGTCTCACTTCTCACTCTTACTTCGGTTACATCACGTTAATGGGTGATAGTATCATCTCCTGGAAATCGAAAAAACACGCTACGGTATCATCATCCACGACTGAAGCTGAGTACATCGCGCTCTATGAAGGTGGCAGGGAAGCTATATGGATCAAGCGTCTTCTCTCGACTCTCGACTTATCCGTTTCAGGACCTCTTCAAATTCTTTGTGATAATCAAGCGGCAATAGCACTCTCCAAGAACACGGTATTTCACGACAGGACAAAGCATTTTCGAGTTCATGTTCACTGGATTCGAGAAAAAATTGCTGAAGGAGAAGTCACCGCAAAATATATCTCAACTCATGAAAATCTGGCCGATTTTTTGACCAAATCTCTATGCAAGGTGAAGCACCTGAAGTGTGTTGAAGGGATAAATCTCACGGGTTGAAAATGAGGGGGGGTGTTGAACTGTTGATCTCAGTTCGGATGGTCATTTTCATCCTTGCTGCGGCGCACGTGGAAGTGCGGGGTGGTGACAAGCTCAAGGTTCGAAACCTAACTGATCTCAGTCGGATGTATTTAGTTCTACATGTCTAAAGCCTGTATCTCTTTTTCTCATCCGATTGTTTTCTGTTTTCATTCCTTGAGTGTCGATTCTCACTATCATTCTCACTCCACTCGCGTCACCTACAGGTTCGCCTTCCTTGCTCACTCCGCGTTAGCCACCGTCGTGTCTAACATCTATTGGTTAAAAACCAAAGGNACATCCCCCCCCCCCTTCAACTTCCATCCCTGAGAACAATCGACAAGACATAGCCGGAAAAGAAAGAAAGGAAAAATCTGACAAGATAACCATAAAGGAAGAGATTGAAAAAATTGACAGGAAGAAGTAATGGAAAGGAGAAAATGGACGGGGAAAAAAAATAGACATAATGAAACTATACAAGAGAGATTGAGACGAGGAAGACAAGATTCAAGAGAAAAAGGAAGTCAAAAGATGTTGTTGTTTATGGGCGCCCAGAATTTTGGTTAAGAAATCCGCGATATTATCATTCGTTGATACCCAACTGAGATCCAAGTGATGTTCCTAAACAGCATCATTGACAAAGAAGAAAGACCGCTCAACAGTCCAAAGTCCCAACTTTGGGCCATTTTTGTGGGCTACCAGCTAACCGAAGATTGGTTGTTTCAGAAAATTTCAGACTTGAGACCTGGAATAATGGAGCTGAGAATGTGTTTGAGAAACAGATAAAATTTCACAGCCTCTGCCCGTGCCATGAATTCCGCACAATGAGTTGATTTTGCCACGGACTTTTGATGACGAGAGCCCCGTGCATTTGCAGAACCATATAGTTGAGTACAAAATCCTGAGGTAGATCGTTGGAACTCCCCACCCCACCTGGCATCGGACCATATGTCCGTAAACAAGAATCATTTGGTTGAAGGACAAGTTTTTTGTGACAGGTAGTCTTGAGATACCAAATCAAGTGGTGTAGGGCTTGCCAGTGAGTGGCGTTGGGAGTGGAACTAAAATGAGACACAAAATTTACTGAGAATGAAAGTTCGGGACAAGTACCAAGCACAATATAATTTAAGGAACCAATATAAGATTGAAACAATGTGGGGTCAACCGCATGATTTTCAGAAGTCTTCTGATCGATGTGGGCCAGGGGAGTACTGAAGCCACGTCTATAGTTAAATTCGGATTCATGTCGGGAAATGTGTTGATCTCAATAAGGAGGTGCTGGGACAGTTTGATCTTCCCGGGAGACCAGTCTAACTTAAGACCCACTATCTTCTCTGGGTGTTCAAACCATTTTACGTGAAGATATTGTTCCATGTTTTTTACGGAGAATAGACAAGTGTTGAGGAGAATTAGAGAAAACAATTCCATTGTCAACATTCAACCAGATAACAACGAGAAAAATTTCCCTTCTGAAAGCGGCAAAGATATTCTTTAATTTCATCGCATGAGAAATCCCATTTTGACAGGAGAGAACTGAAACGTGTTTCCACCAGCAGCGACTGGCCTGTCGGGTCCCATATAGTGCTTTTTTTGTGGCGTAAAACATTTCCTTGGAGCTGAGGGAATAATTCCACTGGAAGATCTACATGAATCCATTCATCTATCAGACTGTGCACTCAAAGCACCAGTGATATCAAAGGCATTGATGGTCCAGTTAAATCTTTCTGACAAAGTCAAAAGGAGTCGCAGGGATGACAACAAAGTGGTCGGTGAAAAAGTTGTCTTTTGACATCCATCCCAAGGCGTTGTCTGAAACCACGGACCACGGACTACAAAACAAGCATCTGGTTTTTCAATATTACCATTTTGGTGTTGCGCTTCAGGTCAAAGACAAACCTGGTTCCTATAGAGTGTTTTGATCCTTTGTCTTTGATTTCCTAAGTGTCAATGTCTTCAAGTTGATTCCATTCAACCATGCATGCGCCCCTCCAATAGTCGGACCACATAGAAGCAAGAGCCTATTTGAGGCTGATAGCCGACCAAGAAACCTAGCCAGGCTCTCACTTCTAATCTCTTGCGAAGGGCTTGTGGAATGTGAATTGACGCCTTGCCGCGAAACGGAAAGAGGTGGTCTGGTGATGGGTCACAATCAGACCATGATTTGATAGGGGTCAAGTTGCGGAGACGAGAATTGGGTATTTGATTTGCAATCCAGCACGCACAACCATAGGTGTACAACCAAAGGTTTAGGGGAAGTTTGCAATGTATGAGCATTGTATGGGCCATGTTGCCCAGAATTTTGTTTCAACGCTCCACCTCGCCATTTTGTTCAGGAGTAAATGACTTGAGGGCCTAGAGAAGCAGCGTGGGTGATGAACAAAGATGAGGTGTATTCTTTGGCATTACCGCAGCATGGTAAATTTTGGGGCTTGACCAAATGCGGATCTTAAACAATAATTGTGTGGGAATATTGGGTGCCATGAAACAAGTGGTCATAGGGAAACAAAATGAGAATGCGGTATAGTGATCTTGAAACATTAGAATTTATTGGTTGCCATTGATGTCAGGGTCCCTAGCACGTCAGAAACAAGTAGATCGAGTCGTTTCTCAGGAGGAATCGTCTCTGGTATAGAATGGCGCCGGCGTTCACTTTTTGCCTGTTTGCATGATTCACATATAAAGGGATGCCAGTTTTTGAGATTGAAAGACCAGACAACAGTCTGCAGGAAAGTTTTGACGAGGTTGTCCAAGACATGGCCAAGGCGGCAATGCCAAAAATAAGAATTAAGCAAGATAGGATTCGGTCGTGGTGCGGGGTTATGGTGCTGGCTGACGGAATGAGATAGTGTAGAAGGGAGTATACCAAAAACAGTCCAAGTTTGATTGTTATATTTTGAAGAAATGGTGCATTCACGGGAAGCCAGGATAATATTGCCAGATGGATCAAATGAAGGAATGAAACAGGAATCTCAGAATTTTCCCACACTAAGGATTGTGCCGGTCATTTGAGGGCTGTACAGGACCTCCGGAATTGCCCATATCCCAATTTCACTGGAAATGGTCAGTGTTCCCCTGTGCATCCCCAGCATGGAAGAATGATCATAAGCAAGATGTAGTTGGATGGGAGGGATAATCAGATCTAAGAAAGAAAAGGAATGGAGAGAGCCACTCACGTGATTGGTTGCTCCAGAATTGAAAACAGCACCATCGACCCCCTCCGGCATGGCCTGGTCATTGGTGATGGCCCAAACGGCTTGAGTTTGCCTGGGGAGGTTGAGCATAACCGGAAGGGGAGCGACCTGATGAGTCTGGCGGCGGGTGAAACGCATCCCGTCGTAGGACAGGGAGATGAGATTGCCAATGTCCTGTCGCCGAGTAATAAGTGCAAGTATTGTTTCTGGCCAGGAGGTAAGCTGGAGGTGGTTGGTTCCCACATTGGATATCACTAACGGCCACAAAGACGTCCTCAGAAGAGGGAAGGGAGCGCCAGGATGGCCACAGGAAGTCTGAGAGGAATTAGAAGCACGGGGAAAGCTTGGAGAATAAGAAGAGGATTGCCTTGATGAGGAGCAAGCAGATTGGAAGGTTCACAAGATCAAAGTTGATGGGATCTGGAACTGGGTGTTGTTAAAACAGGTCGATTTGCCATAGGCCAAATTGATGATGACTTGAACATCGTGAGCCAAGACTTTGGCAAAATTAGAGAGTTGGAGGGAAATGTTTTGGAATAGTTGTGATCGGGAAGTGTTTGGAGGAGGAGGGACAAGGATTTGAAGGAAAAGAGATTCAACAAGGGGAGAAAGGTAATCTCCCACTTTAGTGGAGAAGATGTCAAAGATCTTATTGAAAGGGTCCTGGTGGGATGGAATGTTGGTAGGAAGTGGAAGTGTTCAGAGGTCAACAAGGCGGTTGAGAAGGTCAACATGGCGGAAGCGTATAGACCCTTCAAAATTGAGTTGTATGGCCTCAAAGGCCTCAGTGGCAGGGTTTTTGCGGTCAACAATGGAAGAAAGTTTGTCATGTACAGTGACAGAAATAAGGAACAGGAGTGACTTGGATGCTTGCTTGGAAAGCTTAGGGTAGTTTTCAGGGGTGTCAATTTTTTTTTTTTTGAGGTCAAGGGTTTGAGATCATGCGTCCAGTTGTCAAAATTGTATTCATCCGCAAGTAAAGGTGTGACCAAGTCTCTGTACTTGGTTGGTTTGGAGAGGAACTTTGCTCTGGGTGAGACATTGGTTGGATTGACGGGATTGGGGATTGTGTGATCAGAATTGTTAAAGGAGGACATATGGGGACTAGAAGAAATGGAAAGTCAAAAGAAAAGGTTGGTGATATTCTGAGACAGGATGTACAATGATTGGGAAAGAAATGGGGATGGAATGGATAATGGAGACAAAGGTACAGTTGGCTTGATTGGTCTTTGTGGATGTAATGCAAGAGGATCAGAGAACAGATGATTGGTGTAGGACATATTGAACAAGTGAAAAGGAAGGTCATGTACTGTGGGACTCAAACCCACACCCTCAGCATTCATGAGTGGTGCTCTAACCATTGAGCCAAGTATGCTTTGTTAATGTGTTGGTTTGTGGAGTACATTGGTTATGTACAGCTTGTGTGTGGTGTTTTGCCTCCAATGCTGTTAGGAAGTCTCATAGTGATGTGTTAGCAAATGTGTATCAAGCAGTGCATAGTTTGACACTTCAACATGATGAAAAAAAAAATGGGAAAAGAGACTAGGAATTGGGTAGGGTCTGGCAGTGGCAGCGTTTTTTTGATCCAAAGTCTTTTATAGACCATTAAGACAAGTTGACAATACTGATTGCCATTTCCAAGCCATGGGCTTTGTCAAGGCCGCTAGCTGTATTGAGGGCTACATGTCTCTGGAGGAGAGCTCTGTGACTTGTTGCCAGGCAAGGATATTGGAGCTACTCACTTGCGTGCTACCGAGCCTTGGACACGAGACAACATCAAGCGAAGCGGACTCGCTCATTGATTAGTTTGCACCTTTTGTGGCGGCTGAGAGACTCTTGACAACAAAACTTTCAAATGACACAACCTTGAAGGTAGTTTATCTGACGATCACTTAACCGTTCATTACGAAGTTGGTATTGCAACAGGCGAGACGAACGCCTGTTTGACTAGGAAAATAAGGCGCTAAGTGTGAAACTTCAGGTTTAGGATGATGTTGCTATGTGTGAGCTAGTTTACAAGCACGATCTTTGTACAACATTGATATCTAGGGAGCTATGACCAACTACTGGTCTATCACGGGGTGACGAAAGGGAGAAACAACACATCTGCGGCAAATAGGGCAGGAGGGTCTCTCGGGTAGCGATTGGTATGACCAGTTCTAAAGAGAGATATGAGAGGAGATCAGCGACGAATGTGGAGAGAGATGAGAGTCCACCAGATAGAGACTCACATTCATGCAGGAACGATGAAAGTGGTGCGAGGGGTGGCAGGGGAGAAGCACTACACTGTCGTTTTCAGTGTAATTCTCAAAACATATTGAGCATTGAGGTTGACGCTCTAAGTTAAGTAAGGCAAAGTCAGTGCTGGCAAGGCTATCCAGTGTGCGCACTACCTCTCGTCTGCTAGACACCATGATCATCATCTCTGAGACTTCCCGTTCGGTATAATCGAGGAGGCGGTTGATACGAGGACCAGAAGGTGGGGGCAGAGCATCAGCTGCGGCGCGGGCTTCAACCAAGTCATGAAGAAGTGAATCGATCACAGTCATGTCGAGACCTGGGTAGTCAGGGTTCTCTCGATACTCGCCCATGATTTGGTGCACATGGTCGTGGAAAGCCTGGAGGAGAGCTTGGGGCTCAGGGGCGAGGGGGCGCAAGACATCTTCCCAGCGGGGAGGGCAAGGCTCGCTGGCCATGGGTCCTGGTCCTGATTCCGCGGGCATGGTCTCAACCTGGCGGACCATGGCCATTACGCGTTCCGCGTCGGGGTCATCGGCAGCCATAGGATTGATCCTGATGTCATCGCCGTCAAGTTCGAATACCATGGGGCCGTCGGGGAGGCTATCGGAGTTGGCAAGAAGCTGGTGGAAGAACGCCTCAATGTCAATCCCTCTTCCGTCGGGGAGTGGGATCCCGTCTTCCTGCTCTGCTTCCCCGGCAATCAGTTGCAGCAAGTCCGGCGGAGGAGCGGTGTCTTCAATAACTTGGACACGCGGGGTTGGGCTCGGAGGCGAGCGGCCTTCGAGAGCCACAGTCTCATGATCAGGCTGCACGCCACCAGGGCGTGAGTCCGTGAGATCATCAGCACGCTCTGCGTTGCTCGCGTTGAAATTTGGGTCCATGTGGGGTTGGGGTTTTCGTAGGTATTGGAGCAAAGTGTGCTGGAGGGCAGAGTGAAGAGTTGTGATGACTGGTTTAGGTTTAGCGTCGGACGTGAAGAAGCTGGTGGGGAGAAGTTGGTACAGAAACCAGGCTCTTTATATAGCCGCCAGTCTGTGAAGCCAAGCTCATGCTCAGCAATGAGGCCGCCCATGTATGAGCTTTCTTGAGAGGGGGGCGGGCCTTTTGCAAAAGTGGTCTCATTGAAGCGGGCTGGAGAAAGCTCTCGAACAATTGCTGAGGGGTTCACCAGCAAAGCAATTTACTATTCCTCTTGTTCACTGCATTTCTGTTGCGAAACCAGCTTTCCCAACTGCACCGAAAGTCTACCGGATACATTACATGGTGATAATCAGTGACTGGTCTGAATACTCGACGGATTTTTAGGTGCGGAAATATTCGAGTGAACTGAGTTGAGTTCTCATTGCAGAGAGGACAGGCTCTATTTATACGCGAGCGCCGGTCCATTGAAGAAGAGCGAGTCCCATCTGATGGCACAAGCGGGCCGATACAAGGGTGCGCCGGACTTGGAGGAGTTTGGCGCGATTATTAGTGGTTAAGGAAATAGTCTAGATAACGGAATAAGAGATACAAGTTGTATACCGATGAGGACAGGAAGTAAGGAAAGGAAGAGAAACGGATGGAACATGAGAAAGACCAAGAGTGGTCAGGAAAAGGAAAGAAAAGGCCGGGAAAAGTGTGGCCGGAAAAGGGGAACTGAACCGGTCATCACACTGGGGACAGAGACATGCAGATCACCTGAATGAAGTAGTTATCGAGTATTTGTTCAGCGTGTACATGGGAGCCAAGTAAGTGGAATATAATGGATTACAAAAGCACTTCTTCGTTAGAGATGACAATGATGATCTGCAAAAAAAAACAAGATTAGAGATAAAATAATAAATAGCAAGACAGTAAATTATTTCAGTTTGTGTTAATGATCACTTGTTGTGAGTGAGATGATAGATTGCTAACTGGGGGATGTACAAAGGTGCGGAGGCTGAAGGAAACCCCTGGCAAGTCCCAGAGGGGGTTACAAGATCATAACATTATCCCCCCTTTATGCCCAAGTCCCCGGTGGACTCNAAAACATATACAAATATATATATATATACATATATGTTTTGTACTTCATTTTCTAATAGAATATATGTAATTAATAATAAATGAACTCAAAAATACAAACAAACTCGTCAAAAACCACCTATGAACCATATCAAACAGGTTACAACCGTTGTAATATCTATAGAAGCTAAGGTGAGACGCCTAGAAGTGCAAAAAGGCCAATTCAGTGTGATAACAACCAATTGCTAATACTAAGCCCACATAAATATTACTAAGTTTTTTGAAAATAAACAAAGTGCTTAGAAACAGCAAAAAGCGCCTATTGGGATCAACGTGGCAGAAGGGCTTGCCTGCAACCTGGAAACATGTAGACTATTACTTTGAGCCATAGCAACACCAGAATGAGCTAGACTACGACCAACCATAAGCAATACATACCTGTAAATATCCCAACCAGGTGTACCCATTAGCTAAGAGGCATAGCTTGGACCATAAATGGTGAAACCCTGGCTAGTAATACCTGGCCCAACCTGGCTGATACAACACAACACAGCCAATCCAGACGTACCAGGCCAAAGAAAGGGCAAGCCCTTCAGTACTCTCTTGGTCCCCTCAACATATCTTGCCCTATAAAGGTGCGGGTCCTAGAACAAAAACCAGCAAGTCTTCTCCCATGAATGATCTAGATCACAAGTCACGGTTTTTTTTTGCACGGCCTCCGAAACACCTCTGCTTCCCCATCACATAGGAGAACTGCAAATCTGCTTTGTTCCTTTTGTGCCTTGTGGACAAGACTCATGTCCCAATCTTGGTCAAAAAGCCTATTACTTGACCACCACCCAGGACTTGACCCGTCCCAACGTTGAAAGCTCGCACTATCCCTTGGCATAAATACCCTTTATTCATTTTTCTTTCAAATTTCTACTCCTCTCTTGACCTGAACAGTCAAAAAAAAAAAAAGGAAAAAAAGAAGGGATGATTGTCATGTGCTTCTTCAAATGGATACTTTGGTAATATCGAGGACGATATAAGAAGCTTATACTAGAAACCAATCACAGAAATGCGAGTTAACAAAAAACAAATCTAGAAACATAAGATGGCTTGAATGCCACTGAGATGTTTTGAAGGAAGAGCTCCTTCTATTTATCAATGAGAATACTGGGCTGTAACGCCGCAACTGAGGCACCGTGAAATAACTCTACTGGTAAGACAATGCCCAAGACCGGCGATTGAGTGTGGCCAGCCGAAAAGCGTGCAGAGTTTTACTTTCTTACTCCTACCGAGAACCCAATCCTTTAACAATGTGATTGATGCGCAGAAGAAATTGAATGCCAGAAAAGAAGAGACAGAAAAAAAAAATATAACAAAGGATAAATTGAATTTTATTTTATTTTTTTCATGAGAGGGGTGGGGTTCAACGGTTGAGAGGTTTGCGGTAGTTGACGGGAGGGAAAGGTACCGGGGCCTTAGTCTGGCCAGCGATGCCCCAAGTTAGAGCGCCGACCTTAGGCATGAGGTTGTAATGCAAGGTGTAAGTGGCATTGACGTCTCTGTTGAAAGTGAGAGGAAGCGAAGGCAGCATAAGAATGGTCAAAGGAATTATAATGGTGGTACAAAGAGGAGAGACAGCGAAGGAAAGAAGAGCAGCAAGACTCAACTTGAACGACCCGCCGATGTGCTTGAAGGCGTACTTGTTTCGCGCCCCGCTCAGGTTGATCTTTGCATCCCGTGCATTCCTGATAATCCGGTCCCACAACACTACCTCGTTCGACGGGAACTCCGGGGTGGAGTAGTCCGCTACCAAGTACACGAAGATCTGCTTGGTGTTATATCGGAAAATCGGCCGTAAATCTGATGTTGTGGGTGGGTTTTGTGTGATGGAGAGCACAGATTCAGTCAGCTTGTATTTGTCTCATTGCTTTTGTGATCGTTAATAGAGCGACGACGCATCAGAGCCCCCCCTCCCTTTTTTTTTTTTTTTGTATGAA